TCACATGATCTTGTCTATTTGTACAGCACTTAATGACAGTTGTCACAAACATGCATAAAACTTCCTTCATATGTCATGTCCTGATTACAGTATGAAGGTGTCATGTTAGTCTTATGCACACCCCTTCAGCGAGCGCTGACTGCGCCCAACATGCAAATGCCCAGCGCTTCCAGTGACCCAACAGGTCGATCTCTCTAAATGTCTTCTGGAGTCAGTGACCCTGCAGCTGTCGGGGGTTTCAGTGGGTCAACAGTGTGTGTGTGATGATCCTCTTCTCTGGGATCCTACATCACGGTCGAGGCATGCCAGGTCACACAGGCGAGACGCGTCACGGCTGGAATGACATATTGATTGCTTGACTTGCGGTGGTTTACCTGCGCTGCTCATGTAGATGAAGTGTAGAAACTGATGCGACATTACCGTGTGCTGATATCATGCAGAAACACCACGAGTGCCATGGCCTTATGAGGAGTGAGCGATGGGTTTCACACACACACACTCACACACCATTTTCTGACTTAGGAAAACTGCATGTTCTCTTCTGAATCCGTGTAATATTTTGGAGTAAATCATCAGAGCTGGTGGGCGGCGTCTGGCACGGGCGTGTGGAGATGTACCGAGGTTATCTCACCGAGAAAGAACGAGTGATTTCTTTTCTTCCCACATCTCCTGCATCCGAGGATCACCTGAAGACTCCCGCTGTAGACTAAACCGTGTATTTGCAGTGGAGTGAACTAATATAGGCTCTCTTCAAGATATTCTCTGACTATATACTGTAACTAATGGGGTTTTCAGTTTGCACGCAAAAAAAAACATTTTTGGCATATAAATGGCACGAAAAATGACATTTGTGGTATAGATATGCACTTTGAGAGTCCTTGTTGAATGCAATGCATTGCACGTGATCACTCATGCACATTATTGGTCACTTAAATGTACCTGTAAAAATGAATACGACTGAATATGTTAAATCTAATCAATAAAATAGAGGCAACAGACTACAATCAATATTATTAATTAAATTGAACAAATTAGAATTGAGTAGCTAATAAAACAAAAATATCAGAAAAACAGACTGACGTCAAATATGAATTAAGATTTTTTTTTTTTTAACTGAACCTGATGATAACAAGCAGAATCACTGAAGGAGAAAACCATATTTTTAAGTCACCATTGTGGTGATCAGTGTGTGTTTTAGTTGGGCCAATTCTTAATTCAGAATTCTTCATTCTTGAGTTCTTAATTCATCTTTGGCGTAAGTCTTTCCAACCCGATCTCACGGGAATTCGTACGAATTTTACGAGGTGGCTAATTCGTAACAATTCATACGACCTCACACGTACAAATTAGTGCGATTTTGCTAAATCGTACATATTTTACGAATTGGCCAATTCGTACGAATGACCTTCCCCTGACCCCACCCCTAAACCTAACCATCACATGGGTTCAGACAAATCGTATAAATTAGCCACTTTTTAATCACTCGTACGTATTCGTACGAATTGGTCGTGAGATAGGGTTGGTTTTTCCTATATATTTTTTTTTAAAAAATGTGTAAATTATACTAATTTTAAATGGTTAACATTTAAGTAATTCATGTGGTTAGTTATTACTCAATTCTAATTTGTTAAAATTAATTGATGATATTTATTGTAATCTGTTGCTTCAATTTTATTGATTAGATTTAACAATCAGTCGTATTCATTTTTACAGTGTGGTTAGGATAGGGGGAGGGGAGTGGGGAGTTTGTGCGTATATTACACGCCATAAAGTGTAATTGCGTTTCAAATAGACGCGAAAACTATTTTGGGCGTATAAATCGCACAACAAATAACATTCATTCTATAGTTACGAACTTTCATGAGATCGGACTGGGACTCTCATTTTCAATGAATATTAAACTTAAAGGGGCACTTGGCAACTATTTCAACTTAATAAAAGCGTTTAGAAATCATTTGGTTTGATAACCTGTTCTGGAGAGACAACACACCACAACAAAAGTGAAAATCAGTGAAGAAATGGCTAGAGTTGCCAAATAAGTAATTAATACAATTCAATACAAAATATAATATGAATAGGCATTACAGCATTATAATATATCGAATGGAAATGTATTTGAGATTTTATAAATGTTACATTTATACATGTTTAATAATTGGATGTTAATTATGCTGTTATATAACTCATGTGATTAGCTCACAAAGAAGCAAAGATGGCAGCACACAGTTCACACGCTTCATAAATCAGCATCTCCTGGATATCCGAGTGTGTATTTCTGCTTATAAACTCTGTTTCATATTCTACTGTAATATAGATGTTAGAAATATGAACTCTACAGCATGTACTGTGAGAAATATAGTAAGATATAGTTTCTCATTCCGAACTCAGATCCAGATTCTCCAGGACTCATGCAGTTGCTAGGAAGACTACAGTGTGTGTGTGTGTGTGTGTGTGTGCGTGTGATGTTGATCTACTGCCATCTAGTGCTGGTTATGGGTCCTACATTCACTTTTGGAAGGAAGAAAACACTATTCACGTGACAATTTTATGTTATTGTCCTCTGTTGCTGGGCAGCATGTATTGTGTTTGAATGTGCGTGAGCGCGCGCGCGTGTGTGTGTCTATAGGGGCTACGTTAATATGCAGTCATCCAGCAGTCTGTGTCATTGTTCCTGCATTAAAGATGTTCTCCCTCGACACTGAAACACACCGTACAGAAATAGTTACCTTACTCACACAACTATTTCCAGCACTGCAGTCATACATACACAACTTTGGACGAAGTGAAACGTGCAGGTCGGTCAGCGAAAAGCCCCTCAATTAAAATTGGTACATGAACCCGTCGGGAACTAATTTGCTTTCTCGAGTTTCACTGATCCGGCAACCTGTGCAACCTTGAGAAATGTCACTGCAGAGAGATGTGGACCGAGGAAAACTCTATTCTATTCTATTCTATTCTATTCTTCTGTCATCCTTTAGAAACTCGCTCTTGCATACGTCACACAAAATAAGAAATGTATTTTGTCCAAACAACTTTGGACCCCATTGACATTAATTGGGGGGGTGATCAGATTGAGGGTGAGTAAATGATGAAAGGATTGTTGTTCTTTGATGAACTGTTATTTTAATTTGTTTGCAAATTAAGTTGTGGTCTAATTTACTGTTGTCTGATGAATTTTTAGGGGGCAAAATCTGGTCATTTTTCCATAATCCACACAATCAGGAATTTTACATTCGTGCGAAACATTTCCCCAACAGGTTCGAGTCGTTCACTCAAAGTCAGTGTACCTTTAATGGAGGAGTTTGACCAAATGTTTTATTTACATTTGCATCTGCCATAGAGAAATCCACATAATGGATTCAATCTATCCTGTCATGAGTACCCACATGGATGATTAATGGCCACTGATTGGCAATAGATGTTTTTTGTCTGTGAAACTTTGCTAATATTCCGCTAATGAATGTTTTAGTACTTCACATACAGTAAGTTTACATATAGAGAAACTGACATATTCATTCTATCCCAGTATGAATGATTCTGTAAAACATATTTTCAAGATTTGTTATCACAACATATTTTTTTTTTGTCAAATCAACTTTATAATAATTTATTTAGTTGAGATAACTTATTATTTTGAGTTTCTGATGGTTAAATTAATCCTTCATTGTATTAACTCACTTTTTCCAGTTCAATCAATTTAAAATTTTAAAGCAACACAGGTTACTTACTTTTTTAAGTTAAAAACCAACAACATTTTTTTACAGTGTAGTAATCACAACATTTTTTCTTTTGTCAAATCAACTTAAATAATTTATTTAGTTCAGATAACATATAATTTTGAGTTTCTGATGGTTAAATTAATCTCCTTCATTTTATTAACTCACTTTTTCCAGTTCAATGAACTTAAAATTTTGAGGCAACCAGGTTACTTACTTTTTTTAAGTTAAACCATCAATATGATTAAAAATGTATATTTTTTCGTCAATGTCACTTTAGTCCCCGGTTCCACAGACCAGGTTTAAGCTAGTCTCAGACTCAAATGCATGTTTGAGCTGAAATAAACTTGCCCTGATACATCCTAAAATGTGTCAGTGTCATTATTTTGTCTCAAGATTTGTTTCACACCACTAATGTTTATAAAAGCTACTTAAATATCTGAACTACGGCCTACTGTAATATGGCTAAATCTAAACCCTGTGAAAGCAGGCATGTATGTTTCCATCTGTCAGAGAGAAAAGGTCGCATAATAGCCTATATTAAATCCCATCATGATTTCAGTATATGCAACCTTGGAACTTCCACCAATGTGATTGCATCTTTGTGCTTTAGGAGGTGTTAGCACTTTGCCTATGCATCACATAATTTGATCTATCAAATCAGTTTAGTTACTCATAATTGGAAATGGGCGTTTTTGTGTATTTTGTGCTGCAGATTAACAGTTTTAGCACTTTTTATGCATCTTAGAGAATGGATTCCATGTCCCTGTAGGATTTCAGGAGCCTGTGGATGATTACGGCTAATGACTGATGATGTCAGCCATTATTAACGCTGATTGATTCAAGGACATGTTGTTTTGTTGGTAGCAGTCAATATGGACTTCCCAGTGTCAGGACACACAGATCATGCGAGTGATAATGTGCCCATTACATAAACAATGATGAGGAGAAAGCCTAGAGAAAGCAGAGAGATCGTCGAAAGCAACTACAGATTCTATTGATAGACACACAAACACATAGGCTACTAACACACACACACACACACACACTTATACAGAAAATCACGCACACACACACTTCCCTGTTCCCTCTGCGCGGCTCTGGCCCCATCGGTGGCCGCATAGTTGTCTGATGAGTCAGGAATGTGGTTGCATGCCTTACACATGAGCTATTACTGAACACGGGGAGAGAGAGGGAGAGAGAGAGAGAGAGAGAGAGAGAGAGAGAGAGAGAGAGGGAGGGAGGAGGCGCAACATTAGAGGGGCAGGAGCGCGCGCTCGCTCGGAGAGCCAGAAGAGAGACGGCGCACGAGAGGAAAGAGCGCGCGCGCGGCCGCTGAAACACAAAGGCTCCTCTGACATCAGTGCTCGTGCGAGCTCGTGCGGATAGTGCAGATCTCCTGCAGGGTCTGAGTGTGTCCTGCAAGCCCTGCTGATCCTCCTCCACTGACAGACATGCACGAGAGCGAGATGAGGCTGAAGATGCGCGTCAGGCGTATTAAAGAAGGGAGAGATCTGAGAGGTGAGCTGAGGAGTGTGTGTGTGTGTGTGTGCTTGGGATATACAGTAAGATTTTGCATGCAGCTTTTTGGTGTTTCACCCGCCTTAAATTTGTACTTTTCCACTCTGTTAGTGTAGTTATGGGAGTGAATGAGAATGCATCATGTGCTTTTCAGTGTGTGTGTGTGTGTGTGTGTGTGCGCGCGCGCGCAAGTGTGTCTCCCGTTCGGTTCATGTTATTGCATATCAGTGACCTCATACTTCTTATGTTGGACATCGATGACAAGTTTCTTCAGGGTGACAGTGGATTTTTAGCTGCATGCCGTCATGAGTTTCAGTCTTTGACTTCATTTAAATGGCCATTCATTGAGCAAACTGGAAGTGAATGCAAACAGGACGTACTTTCCAAAGGAATATATATATACACTGTAATATATATATATATATATATATATATTCATGATTTATAATCACAACACTTTTTCTTTTGTCAAATTAACTTTGATCATTTATGTAGTTCAGATAACATAATATTTTGAGTTTCTGTAGATTAAATCAATCTCCTTCATTGTATTAACTCAATTTTTCCATTTCAATGAACTTAAAATTTTAAGGCAACCAGGTTACTTTTTTAAGTAACATTTTTTACAGTATATATATATATATATATATACTTATTTTAATAAATAAATAATATAATATTAATTTAAAAAATAAATAATTATAAAGACATTATATATGACAAAAATAGATATATATATATTAAAAATGTAAATAAAAAAATATAAATGTCTAGAATATTACATCAAATCTGTAAATATAAATAAAACCATAAGACATTATTTGAGTTTTGAGTTATGTAACTATTTTGTTTACATGTAAGAGAAGACAAACTTTGTCTTTTTTAGGTTTCTCACTGATGTTTTGTTAATATTAACATTTGTCAGTATTTGAAAAAGCAAAAGCTGTGTGTTATTTGCTGAAGTGTGTTTTGTTGCAACTCCCTCTCTCACGTTTCTTATTTCGAGTTGGCCAACACATTGCAGGTGAAGATTTGCAAAAGTATTTCAGCAGATTGTAATTGCCTTCAATCTATCACGCGCTGACATCAACAGCAGAAATATGGAAACCTGACGACTGCGAGATTTGAAATATGACGTTGTGTCATGCCATAAATCTCCCCGTGCCTGAACTTGCTGCAGTATCACGTCCCCATGAACACATTTAGCATGCTTTATGTAAGCTCCTGCTAAGCAAGGCCCAAATACTACAGATCTCTGTTTAGCCCACACACACACACACACACACACACACACATATATATTCTGGCAGATAATGCACATGTGATTTAATTTCAAACAGCTTTGGTTTGAATCTCTTTTGAGTTTGGATTTGGGAGAGGTTCGCTGTGGCGTGTTTGACTCCAGCGTTGAGTTCTCCCGTCATGCAGTGAAACTCCATGTGAGGATATTTCGGGAGGCTGATATCACTGAGATCTCCAGAGGGGGATCAGTGCCGCTTTTCCCAAATCACAAGTTCAGAAGCTGTAATATTTGTGGTCACTGAACTGACTTGAGCTGAATAATGACACCATTGTTTCACCGCTGAATTTCATTCATAATCCTCCATTACTTTGACACAATCTGCGTTATATAAAGTGATAATGGGACTTCACTTCAACAGATGTTCAGGAAAACCAAAACATATTTGTAAGTTGATAAATTACTCGTTTTTAGGTTAAAAAAAATCTAATCTCAAATGGTAATTTCAAATTTTAACCGAAATTCAACTTTCACTTTCAACTTATAAATATTTAATTGAATTTTTAACCCAACATTTGGGTTTGTCCATATTTGACCCAAATTTGGGTTGAAACAAGGCAGCATTTTTTCAAGTGTAAGTTGATAAATAACTCGTTGTTGGGTTAAAAAAAACTATTTTCACATTTTAACCCAACTTCAACTTTCACTTTCAACTTAAAAATCTTTAATTGCATTTTTAACCCAACATTTGGGTTTGTCCATATTTGAAACAACCCAGCATTTTTTTTAATGTAAGTTGATAAATAACTCGTTGGGTTAAAAAAAAATCAAATGTTGGGTTAAAAAAGCTATTTTCACATTTTAACCCAACTTCAACTTTCACTTTCAACTTAAAAATATTTAATTTAATTTTTAACCCAACATTTGGGTTTGTCCATATTTGACCCAAATTTGGGTTGAAACAAGCCAGCATTTTTTCAAGTGTACGTTGAGAAATAACTCGTTGTTGGGTTAAAAAAAGCTATTTTCACATTTTAACCCAACTTCAAATTTTACTTTCAACTTAGAAATCTTTAATTGCATTTTTAACCCAACATTGGGGTTTGTCCATATTTGAAACAACCCAGCATTTTTTTGAGTGTAAGTTGCTAAATAACTCGTTGTTGGGTTAAAAAAATCAAATGTTGGGTTAAAAAAATGGTAATTTCAAATTTCAATCCAACTTCAACTTTCACTTTCAACTTAAAAATCTGTAATTGCATTTTTAACCCAACATTTGGGTTTGTCCATATTTGACCCAACATTTGGGTTGAAACAACCCAGCATTTTTTAGAGTGATAAATCACTAATTTTTGGGATAAAAAAAAATCAAATGTTGGGTTAAGAAAAAGGTAATTTAAAATTTTAACCCAACTTCAACTTTCACTTTCAACTTAAAAATGTGTAATTACATTTTTTTTAACCCAACATTTGGGTTGAAACAACCCAGCATTGTTTCGAGTGATACAGTAAACTCCATGATCCAGCGAGCCGTATGTCATGATGGGTTCGCTCCGACAGCCTCGGGACTCGCTGACATCATGCTTCGGGAATGTTATCCAACCAGGTCTGCACTGATTCAGTGTGTGTGTGTCCTCACATGTGTGTGTGTGTGAGCGGCGAGTTTGGAAACCTCTGGGCTGTGATGTGATAAAGCCAGATAATCAGTCCTGGATGTTGGACCTCATGTCAGAGCATGTTCAGCCAGAGCACGGGGTAGTCACAACTTCTGGTGTGTGTGTATATGTTTTTCTATCCTGGCTGAATGCACACACACTCTTGAGTCACAGTGAGGAAACAAGCTTATAAATCATTCAGAATGAGTTTTTTTGAAAATGTAAAAATGCAGAAAGTTGTGTGATTGGTACTGTAGGTTTAGGGTGTGTGTGTGTGTGAAGTAGGATTAGGGGTTAGTAAAACCATTACGTCTATGGCGAGAGTGTGTGTGTGTATGAAGAGACGGCCTGTTGGCCACCCGCGTGTTGAGCGATGATGTCATCCTGCTTGGCGGTTGCTTTTAATAGCTGGAAACAGGCAGGCCTTGATCCGGCCTTAAAGGAACAGGCGCTCTTTTAAACAAAGCACTTTGCTGATTTGAATACCCAGCTTGCTCTTTTATATCCTCTTCACCTTCGCCTGGGTGAATATTTTTTATTTTTTTTAACTTCCTTGTAGCTTGTTTAACTCTTATCATGAGGTCAATGGCTCGAGTAACTCTGGCACTTTTTTTCCGTGACACGCCGGCCGGGTCATGATGTCATCCGTGACTCATGTGAAAGGGTTTTTTTTTAAACGGCTCTGTTTGGTTTGACTCACACAGCAGATCTAATGGCTTTGCTGAATGATGTCATGCTGAAAAGTCCAGAACTCTTTATCTTTTGTGAATGAGAGAGTGAACTGGGTTAGTGAGTGTGTGAACTGGATGGATGGCAGGGTGCATGAACGGACTGATGGATGAATACATAAATGAGAGGTGAACCTTCACACAGGTATACTTAGAGACTCTTATGTCATGCCTGTGAGCTCATCTACTTAAACATTTCGCTTCTTTTGCTGCTCTTAATTCATTTATTATATATCCAGACACAGTGTAATCACCATTGGAAAATCTCAGAGTAAAACTGTGATAAATATGATACACCAGTATTACTCTTTTGATTCCTTTTTTAAAGTTGCGCTATATAAATAAACTTGCCTTGCCTATTTTGTTTCTCTGTTTCATAACTCGCTCGTTCTCTCATCTTGATTTGCATGTGTGTGTGTGTGAGAGAGACTCAACTCAAACACTCCCTCAGAGTGATGTTTCTGTTCATTTGAAGAATTACACAGTCACATTGTGAATTTGAGGTCATCTGTAGCTAAAGCAAATAAAAGCGTCTTCGTTAGCGAAATATGGAGGTCATTACATTGGCTTGCATGTGCGTGTTTGTGTATTTAGAAGAGCTATTCAAGATTAGAATTTTAAATTTTACAGCCCTGTTACATGTCCTCTAAAAAATGCTGGGTTGTTTAATCCAATTGTGGGTTAAATATGGACAAATTAAAAAATCTACAGTTAAAAAGTGAAGGTTGAAGTTGGGTTAAAATTTGAAATTACATTTTTAACCCAACATTTGGGTTTGTCCATTTTTTACCCAAATTTGGGTTAAAACAACCCAGCATTGTTTAGAGTGTTGGATTAAAAATGCAATTTAAAAAATGTAACCCAAAATTGTGTTTTAACAACCTAGCATTTTTAAAGTGTATCACTGTAATGAATTATAATAAGTGGGTTATAACTAACCCTGAATCTACATCTTAACCTAACCCAGTATTTTCTTATAGCACTCTAAAAAATGCTGGGTTGTTTCAAAATGGTTGGGTCAAATATGGACAAACTCAAATTTTGCGTTAAAAATGTCATTTAAAATTTGAACCCAACTTTCAACTGTAATTTACATTTTTAACCCAACATTTGGGTGTGTCCATATTTGACCCAAATTTGGTGTGAAACAACCCAGCATTTTTTAAAGTGTATACAGTAATGAATTATAATAACTGGGTACACTCTAAACAATGCTGGGCTGTTTTAACCCAAATTTGGGTCAAATATGGACAAACCCAAATGTTGGGTTAAAAAAGTAATTTAAAATTTTAACCCAACTTTAACTTTCACTTTTTAACTGTATATTTTTATTGCATTTTTAACACAACATTTGGGTTTGTCCATATTTGACCCAAATTTGGGTTGAAACAACCCAGCATTTTTTTAGAGTGTAATAACTAACCCTGAATCTACATCTAAACCTAACCCATGTAGTTACCTTATGTATTTCCGTATACACTGTAAGTACAAATACAACCAGATTATACTTGTTTATTAATCGTAACAAGTCTATAATATAACTTTCGGGGGTCCTCGGCTTTAACGCATTCATCTAAAAAATGCTGGGTTATTTTAACCCAATGTTGGGTAAAATATGGACAAGCTCAAACTTTGGGTAAAAAATGTCATTTAAAATGTTAACCCAATTACTGGGTTTGCCAATATTCGATCCAAACCCAGCCTTATTATAGTGTAGAAACTGGAATTTTTCACAGTAAATGTGTGTGTGAGTTCTGGTTGGGTGTCTGTGGCCTGCCTCGTTCGCACTGTGAGGAAGATGAGATCATTCAGGAAGCAGAGAATCAGACACTGACACACAATCTGCCTTGTAAAGTGGCATGTCTCGGCTTTCACCACTCCATTGCTTTTCTCATTTCCTTTTCAAGAGGGATTTCTCCGCTCCCGCGTCCCAGCAGTGGCTGGAGACCCATATTTGTTGGTTACAGAATGGTTTGCTGGAGTGAAAACGTAAACATTGGTAAAAAATACACCATCCTGGTGAAGGGTCATCTACTGTATGCTGAGTGCTCTGGATATGCCCGTGTGGCTTCAGAGGAATTGAAACGACAGGATATTTCTGCTGCGCCGGAAAGGCTCGTTGGCCCCTGTGGAGTTTGTGTTTGGGGTTCATGTGTAAATCGGTCGGTTAGGATGTTTGGAAACCCCCTTCATTGTACTATTATTCCATTCTTACTGTAGGTGATTGAGTTTACAGCAAACTCTGTGTGTGTGTGTGTGTGTGTGTGTGTGTGTGAGAGAGAGAGAGAACAATGGGTCTGATTCACTTAAAATTTTCACTAACAAATCATGAATCGTTATTAACTTTTGTTCTAAATTTTATTCAAAATTGGTTGGAGCAACTGAAATCACATGTATGCAAAAATCACATTTTTATACACACATATTTCATCTTAAATACAGGTGAAACTCAAACAATTAGAATATCGTGCAAAAGTTCATTTATTTCAGTAATTCAACTTAAAATGTGAAACTAATATGTTATATAGACTCATTGCATGGACAGTGAGATATTTCAAGCCTTTATTTGTTATAAAATAAATAAATTTTCATATTTCATATCTGTAAGCCATAATCTGTTAGAGCACAATTATAACAAAATAAAGGCTTGAAATATCTCACTTTGCATGTAATGAGTCTACGTAATAAATTAGTTTCACATTTTAAGTTGAATTACTGATATAAATGGACTTTTGCACCATATGTCATTATTGTATGGAAAGCCCTTATTTGGGCATGTTATGCAACCTCTTTAAAAAATTCCAAATTCATTAATTTTGGAAAAAAAAATCCACACACAAACAACATGAGGACTTATCCTGTGCGTATAAATACGGATATTCGACTTGTGAATGAGACTCAATGTACATGCATATGAGGGGAGTAATACATATTATGGTTGTTGCTATTTTGGTTCGCCCTAAATGTATTCGTCTTCAAACAGTTCTCTTCTTCTCGTTGCCCTTTCAGGTGGCTTTGCAGCGTTCTCGTCTTGTTTCCCTGACCTGTGTGAGAGTAAACCAGCCACTATTGTACCTCTCAGCCTGTCCCAGCCCTGTTTACCTGTGGCCAACATCGGTCCGACCCGAATCCTGCCACACCTGTACCTGGGCTCTCAGAGAGACGTCCTCAATAAGGTTGGTAGAACTAAAAAAACAACAAAAAAAAGACTAATTTGGGGTTTCAGAAGGGTAAGTCACTCACTCTAAAACATGTTGGGTTGTTTTAACCCAAATTTGGGTCGGAAATGACAAACCCAGCCATTGGGTTACATTATAAATTATTATTTTTTTAACCCAACGCCAACGGTTGGGTTCGTCCATATTTGACCCAAATTTGTGTTAAAACAACCTGTGCATAGTTGGGATTAATTCTATAGTGGTCAACAGAAAACACAACAAATAAAATGTTTGCCTTCCCATTTGCCGCAATAGCAAAAGAAAAAATCGTGTTACTAAAAAGAGATTGATTAAGATGGTCGGAAGAGAGAAATATGTCAAATTTGCAGTTGGGAATTGCTTTCAGTTTGTGTGCGCAGACATCATCAGATAACCAGGAATAGTTTTCTTTTACCTGGAGGGTGTTTGCGCATACCTTCGAATGATTGAAGTGTATCGTATCTCATCGCTTGCTTAGATAACAGGCAAGTGAACGCATTCCAGAAAATACTTCCATTGATGTTGGGTTGATTTAAATGTTAGCCCTGCCAAGTTGACACGAAACTCACCATCTTGACGTGTTATCTGTCTACATCTCTCATTTACAAGAGCTCCAGCATGCATGACAGACTGGAATCTGCTCACGGAAACGTTCACTTATCAGCACTAACTTATGCAAAACCTCCATCTTTTCACAGGAACTGATGACTCAGAATGGTATCACATATGTTTTGAATGCCAGCAACACATGTCCCAAACCTGACTTCATCAGCGACAAGCACTTCATGCGCATTCCCGTCAACGACAGCTACTGTGAGAAGCTGCTTCCTTGGTTGGATGACAGCAATGAGTTCATTGGTAAGAACCAGACTGTACGGATGTCGTGTGCGTGACATCATCCGAAGTGTTTCTGAAGCCATAAACGGGTAAATGGGCAAAGAGGCGACGTGACGCCAACAGACTAAAGCTGCGTTCACACTACACGTGACCAAGCAGCGCAGTCTCATCCCAAGACGTCATATAACTGACGTCTTGGGACGTCTTTTGAACATACGTCAACATTCGCCGTTTTAGGGTACCCTTTAACGTCGGTTGGATGACGTTATCGGATCCTAACCCTACCCCAGACCTAAACCTACCCCGTCACCTAACCGACGTTAAAGGTAGCATCAGTTGTATGAAGTCCCAGGATCGTCATAACTGACGTTAAAGGGTACCCTAAAACGGCGAATGTTGACGTATGTTCAAAAGACGTCAGTTATTTGACGTCTTGGGATGAGACTGTGTTAGACCAAGCGACACGATACCATCCATTTTTAATGGTGAGCGGGCGACTTCCAGCGACACGCGCAGTCGCGACTGGTGGGGCGTGTCCAGCGACACGACAAAGTTGAGAAATTTTAACTTTATGCAAATGAAGAGCGATTTTTGCGAGCAACAACCAATCGGAGTGAAGTCAGAGAGTCTGACCGAGGCCAAGTGGCCACGCCCTTAATTATGCAGAACTTTAAGGCTTAATATAATTTAAATGGACGAGTTATAAAAAAATGCACCCCAATCACAGTCGTCATGAAGGGCAAAATTATCTATATAGACCGATATCTGCTGTAAAGTTGGGCATTTTAACATGCGGGTCTATGGGATTGACTCTCTTCGGCAGCCGGCCTCTAGTGGCCAGTCGATGAACTGCAGGTTAAGTTTGCTGAATGGACAATGCAGTATTCTAGAAGGCAAGTTAGATCCTGAGGTTTGGTTAACACAAGCCATCTGTGCATCAGCATTTGAGGGAGGTATGAGTGATGTCAGCATTTGAGGTGGGCGAATGAGATTGCCTCATGCTTTGTGTGCAGTTTAACAGTGGAACTGCTTTTGACCAGTTTGCTGTTTCTCTCTATCCACAGACAAAGCCAAAGTGTCAAACTGCAGAGTCATCGTCCACTGCTTGGCTGGCATATCCCGCTCTGCAACCATTGCCATTGCCTACATCATGAAAACTATGGGCCTGTCTTCCGACGATGCCTACAGGTAACCAAAGCTCGTTGGATGTTCAGATACCCTTCCATTGTTTCTTAACAGGACTTAGTTGTATTCAGGCATTCAATTGAATTTTTCACATCTGACATTCCTGCAGGTTTGTGAAGGACCGTCGGCCATCGATATCTCCAAATTTCAACTTCTTGGGTCAACTCCTGGAGTTCGAGAGAGGCTTGCAGATGAAGAAGAGTCCCATAAGGTCGTCGGTGAAACCCACTGAAGAGTTGGCGGATGTCCGACAGATGGAGAGCGATCCCTGCGACCAGAGGAATCCTCAAACTACAGAGATCACTCCGTCGCCAACCTCACTGCAGAAAGACCTCAGCTCCCTTCACCTGTCCACCGAACGAATCCTTCAAAACAAACGGCTCAAGTGCTCCTTCTCCCTCGACATCAAGTCTGTTTACTCGGAGAGACAAAACCAGCAAGACATCCCCAAACTCTGCAGACTCGACAGCCTAAAGTCGACTAACGGAGTGTGTCAACACCCGTCAGACTCGCAGTGTGCCAACAAGACAAGAACGATCCAACAAAGAGAGAGGTGGGAAAATGGTGGCTTTGAGAGGTTATCCACCACCACTCTGTCCCTCAATCTGAAGAAGGGAAACTGCGGGCCAAGATCGCAGGATCCCATTCGCGAGACCAACTTGAAGGCGCCTACTTTCCTCAGCTTGCCGCTGGGTTCATCTGCTAATTGGACCACGCACAGAGGCTCGAATCAAGCCAG